TTTCTCCCACCACTGCCACTGCAACCCCCACAGGTTTTTACTACCAGATGTTTTGAGTCTTTATTTCCCCTCACTGGAACCCTGGGTTCCACAGTCTGTCTCACTTCCCTGCTGTTCCTCCCAGTTTATCCACTCACAAATGTGGGACCACTCAGTCTGCCAGCCTTTGCCTTGCACTCATCCTCTCTACCCTGGCTGCCCACCTCCGCCCTTCCTACCAGTCTGAATGAATGTTTTTCCTTTAACTCCTTGGGTAGTTCAATTTTCTGGCAGTTCTGGGTTTTTTTTGTTTTTAAATTTGTTGTTACCCTTCTTTTGGTGGTGCAGGGAGGCAAAGTGTATCTACCTACACCTCCGTCTTGCCTGGGAGTTCCTACTTTTTGGGAACTTTTGTCCTTGCTGCTAGGTATTTTTCCTTTCTGTCTGGCTACCCCAGTGCTGATAAAGTCACTTTTGGGGGAAAGAGAAGAAGCAATCTTACGTGCTCATCCCTTTGATTAAAGATCCCTGTTGACTCCTCACGTCTGTAGTCTTGTGTCTAGAAGCTGGAGCACAGGATGCAAGGACCTTCCCAGTGGGGCTCAGCCCCCACATCAGCTCATCTCCCACCACTCTGTGTCACACACTGCTGGACACACTCCCCGGTGATCTCTGTCCTTTCATGACTGCCTGCATACATTTTGTTTTGTCTAACTATAGAATGCTTGTTTCTGCCTGCAAAATTTTTACCTGTCCTTTTCAGGCACTCTGAAAAGATTTTTAAAATTTATTTTTAGACCAAGGGGGAAGGAGAGAGAGGAAGATTGGTTGGGTGCCTCTCATCTGCGCCCCAATTGGAGACCGAACTACCATTCCCCAGGCATGTGACCCGACTGGGAATCAAACCAGCAACCTTTCTTTTGTAGGACGACTCCCAACCAACTGAGCCACACCAGTCAGGACTGAAAAAAATTTTTAAAAAATTGTCCTAGAGAGAGTTCAAGTCCCACAGCACTGTGTTCACTGATCTGCCCTAGAACATATCAAATGATATGATAATAACCTATTAATAAATCTGTCTCCATATTTAAATGACTGTCAGCTGCTCGGCATAGAGTCTCTATCTCTCTAAATTATGTCTCTTCAGCAACTACTGTACGCTTAGCACTGAGTAGGCCCTACACAGATACTTACTTGTAAATGCCTGACTGACTACATAATTGGTTGCCTGAAAGAGCTCTACTGTTCTGTTGCCCTGAAGGGGGAATACTACTGCTGCTGGGCATGACAAGTTGCCAAAAAGGAAATGATTTTCTGAACTAGAACAATATATATTTGAAAGTTTGTCTCTGTCTTCCCCACTCCTCGAGATTGTTTTAGCTGCCAAGTGTTAACCACTATGGTTATTTGGGAGTCTAGATAGATTCAAACCATTGACCTTGAGTTCAGGGGTTTTTTTGGTTTTGTTTTTTTTTTTGGTCAATGACTGATCTTTTGGCTCATTCTTTCTTGTACCAGGAAATACAGTGAATATTTATTTCAGGAATTTTAATTATCCTTTCTGAAGAGTGTATTGCTCATTAATATATTTGAATTGTCTGAAAGCTTTGCTTTTTGTTTTCTGGTAACCAACAGGACCACAGCTTGGTTTGTACTCACTGATTGTGCCAAACCCATGTGTAAACACGAGTGATCTGAATAATTGTCTAGAGAAAGGCTATTTAAGATGAGACCATCCTGCCCTGGCTGGTGTGACTCAGTGGACTGAGCACCAGCCTGTGAACCTAACCGAAAGGTCACCAATTCTATTCCCCCATCAGAACACATGCCTGGGTTCCAGGCCAAGTCCACAGTTGGGAGTGTGTAAGAGGCAACTTATCTTTGTATATCTCACACATTGATGTTTCTCTCCCTCTCCCCACCCCCTTCCCCTCTCCCTAAGAGTAAATAAATAAATGCAATCTTTAAAAAAAAAGATGAGACCATCTTTTCTGACTTTTCAGAGGGATGGGCTGTGGAGGAGGGTAAATCTGAGGAAGGTGGTATATGTGTTTGCGTCAGTAAATGTCACATCCTTGCTTACAGTACACTAGATTCTCCTCAGGCAAGAGCTAGACAGACCAAATCAGGAATTGTTCCCTTGCTTAAAGCCAAGAATAACATCCTGACCAGCAGGGGACAGAGGTCAGTTCAAGGCAATAGCTCTTGGGAGTATAGGACATTAAGAGCCATGAACGAACTGAGTTTGGTAGAAGGAAGCCAACAAAAACATCAAAGGAAGTGTTTGAAACTTGTGTCTGTCTTACTGGGGCATGGCTTACTTATGAAAAATCGTCATAACAGATACGTGATGAATTCATATAACCAATCTTCCGGTCATTTAACTCTCCCGCCTGCATGAAAAATGTATATACATTTTCCCTCTTGCCTGCATGTTGATTTGCCTATTGTTTTTATTAGAAAAAGAGGGAAAGGATGGTATACTAATATTCTGGTGTTTTATTCCACAAGCAACTTCAGAAATTCTCAGGAGAGGGCAGGATTTGAAAGATGATATGTTAATTGAAAAACAAACATCCTTTACAACAGAGGTCCCCCAAATCCAAATCTGGGCTGCGGACTGGTACTGGGTGGGTCTCGGTACCGTGCCTGTTGGGAACCAGGCCACTGAGGGGAGCTCCCCTGAGCTCAGCCTTCTGACCCCCGCCCCCCTCCAGCTCCACCTCCTGTCCCCTCTCCCCCATTCTTCCCCTCTTTGTCTGTGGAAAAACCAGTACCTGGTGCCAAAAAGGTTGGGGGACTGCTCCTTTACCCAGTCTCCTGGGGACCTTCCCAGCTGGCTGAAGTTTTGTTTCTGGGATCTTTCTGTGCCCACTTCTCTTCTTTTTCCATTCAGTTCTTCCTCATTCTGATGCTGGCCGCTTACCCCACTGAGACTGTTCACACTGTTTTCTGAGGAGCATTCTAAGTTTGTCTTGTCTTCTCTAGGATTCATTTTTCTGGCCCTACTTCAGCTGGTTCTGGGCCAAAGTGATAGTCTGAAAGCTTTTCTTCATGGTCTTTATTTCTTGGTTCATTTAATGCATTTTGCCTGATTTGTTTTGCTACTTCTCTCCTTTTCCAGTATTGTAAACTGTTGCCTCAGGCCTCTTAGGTTTTGCTCTAGTTTGTAAAGTGCCTTTTTCCTTCTCTAGAAATTGGGGGATGAATAAGTGAGAGATTGCTAACTCTTCTAGGACCCTAGTTTGCTACTTGTTTAAACACATAGGTGGCAATTTTGATTATACTTGCAAGGTAGGACTTGTTGCCAAGACTCTAAAGTGGGTCATTGCTGTTACCCTTTCTCCCCTTGTTTTTCAATAGAAAATTTAAAGGTAAAGAGAGAAGTGCCTTGTCCATGGACACATAGTAGTAGTGAGACCAGAAAAGAGACCGGCGTTCAGGCTACCTGTGCCTACCAAACCCAATAAGCAATGGCAGCGATTGAATCTTTATAGGCACTTTATTCAGATGGCCAGCAATCTGAGAAGATGATAGGTTCATACCCTAACAGACCATCTTGTCTTCTCTTTCCTGGCCAGACTTTTTGTAACAGGCCGGGGGAGGGGAGTAGAAATAAACAAGGTGAGGCTGAGGGCTTTGAGATTCAGAACCTGCAACATTCCTGTCCCGGGCAGTTAGCTGTTAGCTATTCCCAGGGGCCTGTGGTGGTCTGCCTCTCCCTGGAACACAAAGGTCAGGATGCCTTCATTTGTCCCCAGGCGGTCATCTGTAGCAATGTTCTAAGAGGTCAGCTATTTTCCCAGGAGCCAGGATGGGCCTTATCTGTAGTTTCTGAAACAAAAGCTTTAACATACACATTTCTTGCTAGACTTACAACTTTTTACCTTAAGCTAAAATTTTTCAAGTCTTGAGTCCCCTTTTAGTAGATTGGTTGTAACACCTTTTGAAGCACACCTAATTTTTGTATTCCTTATACTTCTTATCACAGCTATTAACAAATAGTTAATAAATAACACAGTAGTTTAATATATATATTCTAACTGTGTATTGACTGGTTACTTAATTAAATTTCAGATTTCTCATCAAGTTGATCTCACCTTTTAGACCAGTATGTGAGAACAGTTTTGGGGTGGAAGGAACTGAATAGCTCTACAGAAAATTTTTAACAATTTAATTTTTTTGTGCAAAGATTCTCATGTAAATTCTATTTGTAATGAAGAAAAAGAAGGGTAGTACGGCTAGAGTGGAAACTGGTTTAAAATGTAAGGAGGAGTAGGATGAGAGAGGATAAAAGAATATGGGTTAATCAAGAGATAGGAACAAAGAGGCATCTTGCCAGCTTGGTATTAGGCAGTAAAAGTGAGAATTTACCATCCTTCCCCCAATATCAGGCTTTTCACCATGCCTCTCTCCCAGACAGACCATTATCAAAGGACTGTAATGACTCTGGTCACTCATGTCTGGTTTTGGCTGCCATGGGAAGCGTGAGGAGGACCTGTGGGGTCAGTCAGCTAGAAAGAACATTTGTCCTTTTGGTTTGTTAAGTTGTTCGTGGTATTTCTCAAATAATACTCTCAAATAGACTGCTGATTCCAAAACCAAAACCATTTTCTGATTGTTTTGCTGTGCCCAGTTAGCTTGTGGGACCACAGGACCAGCTGAGATTCCTGTATTATTTAGTATGTCGTGCAATAACCCTTCAGAGAGCCCATTTACCTTTTTTTAACCTTAAAAAAAAAACAGACTTTACTTTTGCGTTGGGGCCAGTAGTTTGCATCTCATTTGGGATCCTTTGTCTCCCCCTTCATCTGGCCTCCGTGGGTTGCACGAACAAATTTCACTATTTCTGGTTTTAGATGTCTTTCCAACTCTTGTCTTTACCTGCTCCCTGTAGTCAGCTATGGTTTCAGACTTGCTTGGGGAGAGGGTGATTGATTTTTTTTTTTTTTGCTTTGTTTTTTGACTCAGTAAATATGTTCTCTACTTACTCATTATTCTTTACTATCTTTGTCAAACAGGCCACCAAGCAGTTTCTTGAAGAGATTAACAAGTGGACAGCTCAGTACAACGTTTCCCCTCTCTCTTGGAATGTGGCTGTGAAGTTCCTCATGGCCCGGAAGTTTGACGTGCTCCGTTCCATAGAGTTGTTCCACACCTACAGGGTACGTAGCTCCGGGGTGGACCAGACCTGTGGCAGCTGTACTCTCTTATGTTCCTATTTTCTTTGCCACTCTCTGCACACAGTGGTTCTGCATGTTCTCCCCACTCTCGTTTAAAAAAGAAATACATTGGCTGTTGTGACTCAGTGGATCGAGCACCAGCCTGTGGACCGAAAGATTGCTGATTCGAATCTCAGTCAGGGCACCTGCATGGGGGTGGGCCAGGTCTCCAGTTGGGAGCATGCAAGAGGCAGCCAATTGACATTTCTCTCACACATCGATGTTTCTGTCCCTCCCTTTCTCCCTCCTTTCTTCTCTCTCTAAAAATAATTAAAATTTAAAAAGTGGGTCAGTATTCAAGAGCTCTACCTTTGGGGTCAGAGAGTTTCTGTGAAAACATGTCTCCCTAAATTTTAAAAAAATGCCCTTCTGAGAGAGTCAGGCGGGTAAGAAGCACTAGGACTGGTTTAAGACAAAAGCTCTTTAAGCCTATCTTGTGGGTCATGTTGTTCTGTCTTTATTCATTTATTCAGCAGAAATTTATTGTGTAGTGCTATGCTCCAGGTGTAGAGATCACTATTTAGAAAGACAGAGTAAACAATCGGGTACAGAAAAGTTATGATAGGGCATTAGTGGGTTCTGTGCAAGTCTTTCTGAAGGAAATGACTTCTAAATTAAGATCCTAAAGAATGAGTAGGAATCAAAAAGGTAGAGGAAAAAAGTTCACGAAGGTATGACAGAGGTAGTAGCAAGTTTCCAATACCTTGGGAGAAACTGAGCTAAGCAGAGACACGAGTGGGATGGGGTATGGCAAGAGCTTGAGCAGCAGAGGTAAACAGGGCCAGATAAGGGGGTATCTATCTGCTTTTTCTTAATTTTTAAAATTTAATCTTTATTGTAGTTTTTCCTATTGCCATTTAGTCCCCTTATGCCCGCCTCCCCCCAGCAATCACCACACTGTTGTCCATGTCCACGAGTCTTTTTTCCTTTTTGCTCAGTTCCTCCACCCCCTAACATCCCCAACCCTCACCACTAACTGTCATCTCTCCATCTATGAGTCACTCTCTGTTTTGCTTGTTAGTTCAGTTTGTTCATTAGATCCTAGATACAAGTGAGATCATATGATATTTTTCTTTCTCTGACTGGCTTATTTCACTTAGCATATGTTCTCCAGGTCTATCCATACCGCTTTTTCTTATGGCAGAGAAATTCATTGAAGGTATAAACAACAGAATGACTTCATCAGATTGCATTCTGGAAAGATTTTTCTTACTGTACTTTGGAGAATAGATCAGAATGGTAAGCTAAAGCCCGACAAATTTCAAAAGGCTCTTGTACGCCCTGGCTGGTGCAGCTCAGTGTATTGAGTGCAGGCTGCGAACCAAAGGGTCGCTGATTCAATTCCCAGCCAGGGCACATGGCCGGGTTGTGGGCCAGGTCCCAAGTGGGGGCCACGTGACAGCAACAACACATTGATGTTTCCATCCTTTTCTTTCTGCCTCCCTTCTCCCTCTCTAAAAATAAGTAAATAAAATCTTTTTAAAAAAAATTAGCCCTGGCTGGTGTAGCTCAGTGTATTGAGCGCAGGCCTGCGAACCAGGCAATCGCGGTTCGATTCCCAGTCAGGGCACATACCCGGGTTGCAGGCCGGTTCCCTGCAGGCCAGTTCCCAGCAGGGGATGCATGAAAGGCAACCATACATTGATGTTTCTCTCCCTCTCTCCTTCCCTTCCCCTCTAAAGATAAATAAAAATAAAATCTTAAAAAAAATAAAAATAAAAATACATTAAAAAAAATTATAAAAGGCTCTTGTACTTACTGGAATAGAGATAATTGTGGTGTCTTTAGAAATAATGTCAAGTGGTGATAAATAAAAAGTGGTCTGATTCTATAAGTAAAATCGGTAGGATGGGGTTGCTTAACCTGATGTGTGAGGCAAGAGGAGACCAAGGTTCCAGTTCCGTTCCTTAGATGACAAGGTGCATGTCAGGGATTTTCCCTCCTAGGTGCAGGTATGCAGACAGAGAAGGCCATGAGTTCATTTTGGCCATGTAAAGTTTCAAGTGCCATTAGGATATCTATGTAGACGTGTCCTCTGAGCAGTTGGAATATAAGTCTAGGGTTTAGAAAAGAAATCTGGACTGCAAGTGGAGATTTGGAGTGAACAAAGGAGAGCTGAATGTTGGAACCATGAGAATGGGTGAGGTCATCCTGGGAGAGTGTCTAAGACAAAATCTCTCCTTAGACTTTTTGCTTTCTTTGGTTGAAAAGTCCTTTTAAAAGTTGGATTTAGGTAGGGCATGCACTCTTCTGTGATCCCAGCACTGGCTACTCAAGGTATTTGAATTTGATTTTAGAGACGGACTGGGGAAGACCTGGTTTTGTTTTATTCACCAGCATGTTTCTAGCACTTAGCTCAGTGTATGGCACATCATGGTTATTCTACAAATATTTGCAGAATAAATAAATGAGTCAGCGAATGAGCAAATGAATAATAATTTTTTAAAAGCCCACAAAAGAGACTTAGAAGGAATAGTTGAAGAAATAGCAAAAGCCAGAAAATATTCTCCGTCAAAGATAGAGAATTTCTCAGGAAGAAGGGAATGTGAGTGGTCAACCTTGTCATGTAAAGAAGAACCAAAAATGGCTGCTGGATTCAGTGACAGTCAGGACCGTCTGTAGTTAGACAAAATGAGAATGCAGTAGTAGGCTGAGCCTAAGGGAGCTGAGGGTGAGCTTAAAGAATCTGACCATGGCTCTTCCCCAAAGCAGCCAGAGGTGACCTCTGAAAATAGTTCACTATTCACTTGACCCAGAAAATCCCACAAAGTCATACAGATCAAGAGATTTATATCTTGGTGTTCACTACAAGAACTCATGAAACTGCCCAGGCCATCAAGGGTATGCATATTTGAAAAGCCACCAAGTATGTGAAGGATGCCACTTTACAGAAGCAATGTGCACGTTTCCTTCATTACAACGGTGGATTTGGTAGGTGTGCCCAGGCCAAACAGTGGGGCAGGACACAGGGTCGGTGACCCGAAAAGAATGCTGAATTGTTGCTGCACAAGCTTAAAAGTGCAGTTAATGCTGAACTTAGGGTTTAGATGTAGATTCTCTGGTCATTGAGCACATCCAAGTGAACAAAGCTCCCAAGATGCAGCGCAGAATTAACAGCTCGTGGGCACGTTACCCCACACATGAGCCCTCCCTGCCACACTGAGACGATCCTGCTGAAAAAGAGCAGGTTGTTCCTGAACCAGGAGAGGGGGTTGCATAGAAGAAACCAATATCCCAGAAGAAACCAAAGAAGCAACACCTTATGGCCTGGGAGTAATTTCAGCATAAAATAAGTACTAATAAAGTAAAAAAAAAGAGTGTGACCATGAAGATGAAAAAGATGGAAAAATGAGGTGATGGTAGCTGTCGTTAAGGGTATATTGAGGGAAGAGGAGGGGAAAATAAGGAGAGGTCTGTGCCTGGAAGATACGTGAGAGTACCTGCTTACTGAGAGCTTTGGGTGTATATTTAATATCCTGGCCGATATCTGTGCTACTGCATGTTTAAGAAATTGACCCTGTATGCTAATGATATATAATGGTTGGTCTGCAGGTTTAGGATTCTCACTGCTTCCTAGGGAAGTATTCTACCTAAAGAGCTGATAAGGTGTCATTAGGACAGGAATTCTGATAACACTTAGTTGGCCTGGAAGGGTGTTACAAAGGAGTTTATGGTTCAGTTAGCTGACTTGTAAAATCCCTTATCTCTGAAATTTGGTGATTGCATAAACCTGTTCTGGATATATAGTATTTTCATACTGATTCATCCTGTGTGCTTTATTTTTAGGAAACACGAAGGAAAGAAGGCATTGTGAAGCTGAAACCTCATGAAGAACCTCTTCGTTCTGAGATCCTTAGTGGAAAATTCACCATCTTAGTGAGTCTTCCTGGACCCCTCTTGTAATGTCTCATTATTTCCTTTTTTTTTTTAACAGGAGAAAAATTGAAGTTTTTTTTTTCTTTTTTTTTCCCCCCATTATTTCTTTTCGTAGCTATTGTCCTCTTTGGACTTTTTTGGCTGCATACTGTATCCCGACTCTAGAGCATCTCAACAGTTGGGAGCAAATGTGAAGCAGCTGTGTAATTTGGCATAAAATTATTCTAGTAATAACTGAAACTATTGAGAATTAATTGTATGGTAGATTTAGAAAAGTTTCTTCATTGGTTCGTAAGTTAGTAAAGGCTTTTGGGGTGGGCATATACTCTGTCAGAGGCCCATCCTACCTTATTGAATGTAAGATCTCTTCACTGGAGACCATAGCCTTTCAGGTAAGGATTTATACAGTGGGTGGATTTTATTGTTTTCCGCTGCTATTTGTTTCTTTGGGCATCCTGCCTGGGAAATTAGCTAATCAGCCAGTTTTTTAAAATAATGTGTTTCTTTCCTGTCACCAATATATGGTGGGGGGCAGAGGGTGCAAAAAATCAGGCACAAGATGACATAAACTTTCTTCCCTTTCTGGAGCAACTGATGCAAGCCAGAGAAGTAGTGTCAGTATCTGTTCTGTTTTTATTGGAAAGCTATATCCAGGATATAAGAAGACTTAGTGATTATCGGGATTTTCTGTTTGATTTCTAAATGTTTCTTGTTTTATTTGCTCTAGAATGTTCGGGACCCAACAGGAGCCTCCATCGCCCTCTTCACTGCCAGACTGCATCATCCTCACAAGTCGGTCCAGCATGTGGTACTTCAGGCTCTGTTTTACCTGCTAGACAGAGCTGTGGATAGGTGAGCATGGAGATTATCTTTTAGGTGGGCTGCATCCAGATGGGAAGGGGACAGTTCTTGATTTGGTAAAACTTAGCAGTGCCTTTCCTGTGTCCCTTGGATGTGCCCTGGGCAATGAGTGCTGTGAAAATGACCTATGTCCTTAAAGGCTTGACATATTTCTAGGTACTATTAAGATGGTGGGTTTCCTGTATCTTTACCTGCTTGGCTCTTTTCAGGATTACAGAAGTTGAGAAAGACAATTAAATAGCAGTCCTCAGTGTATTAAGAATTACTTATTGAGAAGACCTGGCCAGGTAACTCAGTTGGTTAGAGCATTGTCCCAGTATAGCAAGGTTGTTGGTTCAATCCCTGGTTAAGGTACATACAGTAATCAACCAGTGAGCCCTGAGTGGTGTGGCTCAGTGGGTTGAGCAGCAGCCTGCAATCTGGGAGGTCACCTGTCAGATTTCTGGTCAGGGCACATGCCTGGGTTGCAGGCCAGGTCCTCAGTTGGGGGCATGCAAGAGAACAAAGTAATGTTTCCCTTTCTTTCTCTCTTCCCCTGTCTCTAAAAATAAATAAAAATTTTTTTAATTAAAAAAAAAAAGAATCAACCAGTGATTGCATAAATAAGTAGAACAACAGCCCTAGCTGGTGTAGCTTAATGGATTGAGTGGCAGCATGTACATCGAAGGGCAGCAGTTCAGTTACCAGTCAGGGCAGGTGCCTGGGTTGCAGGCCAGGGTCCCTGTAGGGGGCGTGTGAAAGGCAACCACACATCGATGTTTCTTTCCCTCTCTTTCTCCCTCTTACCCTCTCTAAAAATAAATAAAATCTTTAAAAAAGAAAAAAAATAAGTGGAACAACAAACTGATGTTTCTTTCCCCCCTCTCTTCTTTCCTTCTCTTCCTCTTTCTTTAAAATCAGTAAGTTAAAAAAAATTTTAAAGAATTAGTTATTGACTGAGAATGAGGAGGAGATGACCTGTGATGGTGGGTTGTTTTTTTTTTTCATTCTTTCCTGGATGTTGATTTTTAAAACCGCCTGGGACTTCAGTTTCTTTGAAATAGGAATAATGCCATTTTGTCATTGAGGATTTTGAGACTCAACATTCAGGAAAGAAGAGTCCAAAGGGATAGAGTTAAGCAAAATCGTCTCTATCAATAGGTACATAAACAAAAAGAACCAGCTCAGGTCATATCTCTTCCCTTTAAGATAAATGGTATTATTATTGTTCTATAGACAAAGAAACTGAAGTCTCAGGAATTTGTGACACTTTTACAGTCATCACATGTTGTTCCAACTAGGTCTAAGATCCTGTTTTTTTTCCATTGGCCAGAGCTATTTGTACCCTGCTGTATTATTTTTCTGTCATACTTTTTTCCCCTTAGACTTGACATTTGCAGATTGTTATTGCTCTGGGTATTATGGGCTGGTCCCCTGGTTTAGGGGTGATATGTGGGGCTGAGACCTGAGATAGTGAGACCGCTATACACAGCATTTGTCAATCGATGCAGTTAGAGGATGGGAATAGCCGAAGGATTGTCTTAGTTGGTGGTCTCTGTCTAGTTAGTTCACTGGTTACTGCCTTGTTAATGTTACCTTCATAGTCCTTAGCTTCTGCTTTTGATGCTTAGTGGGAGATAGGTTTAAACAACACACAGCAATGTTCTGTAAAAAGGAAGTTACTAAAGAGAGGACCAGTGTCTTGGGCCTGGTACTGCACAATCAGAAGTGTGGAATGCCTCAGTTCTCCTTTTCTGTGATTGGTCTTCAGCATAACATCCAAAATATAGGTTCCTTTGAGATGCTACTGCAGCTCAGAAGAATGAATGAACGGTTTCTTTACTGGAAGACTCAGTATTGACCTTCTTTCTTGGGCAACGTAGGGAGTCAGAGGTCTCATACAGGCATGGCCTAGCCAGAGCTCATTCTTTCCAGTGTGAGCATTGGGTCCCACAAGAGTACCTCCCCACAGAAAAACACCATTGAAATTTTTTGTTACATCCATTTCTTACTTAACCATCAGTGACTCCTTGTTATTCAGAGGATACATATAAAATAAATGTGAACCCTTTCTCCAAGCAAAATATTCTCAGTAGTGAGAAGAAATTCTTGTTTTCCCAAATTACCTTAAACCAGGATGGAAAGCCCTTTTCTTCACTGAATCTTGTCCTTTTTACTTTTTTAATTAATTATTTTTTTAAAAGATTTAATTTATTTATTTTTAGAGGAGAAAGGAGGGAGAAAGAGAGAGAAACATTGATCGGTTGGCCTTCACACGCCCCCAACTGAGGACCTGGCCCACAAACCAGTTGTGTGCCCCGACCAGGAATTGAACCAGCAACTTTTTGGTTTGCAGTACGACGTCCAACCCATGAGTCATACCAATCAGGGCCAGTCAGTCTTGCCCTTTTTTAAGGCCTAACTACTGTGACTGGCCTCGTCACCACTCCTCCATCCTGTCATAAATTAAATTCTTCTTACTTTGACTTTATTAGCAGTTTTTGCTACTGCTGATCATTTCGTGTTTAATTATACATGGCCTTATCATGTCATGTATTTTATACTGTTGCTTTTTCCATCTACCAGTAGATTGTAAGCTCTTTGAGGGCAGAGTACCTTGTTTTTAACGTTATATAATGGAAAATTCCCAAATCTTCCTGGGTGGAAATACTATCATAAACTTCCACATACCCATCATCTGTCACCTTCAAAGTGATCTGTAACCAATCTTGTTTCATTGATAGCTCCTCACCTACCCCCTACCCTACCCTTGATTGTTTTGAAACATATGAGGGGCTGTGTTTTAAAGTTAACTGGTGTTCCTAGTAGCATCCAGCTTAGAAATCAAATTCAGGAAGAAGGCAAGTATTCTTACTAGAGAATTAGCTATTATTTTAAACCTCATATTCTATGCCCAGAAAAATGTAAGTACTATTGTATTTTTATTTAAATCACATGCCTTCAGAGGATGAGTAGTTTCTGGGAATATAGAACCTGCATTGTTATACAAGATTGTTGTTTTTTTTTTACACTGCTACATATACAGCTCCTACACCGAAGACATCATATTCAAGGGCAGGAAAGGGCTGCAAAGTGTTTAGTTTACGCCTTTCTTGACACGATTGCTTTTTGAAACTTAAATTCTATTTCCTCTGGTACTGTCTTCTCCTTGTTTCAGTTCCCTGCCACAAGCTGGAGCTGTGAGGGGAAAAGCTATAATTCTTTGAATTTGGCCTTTGATGAGCTGTGGAGAAATGGGAAGTCTCTAGACCCAGATAGTAATCGTATAGCATCTGCGATCTTGGTGAATCATAATCTCTCTGGGGTCATAAAACGGGGTCAGGATTTACCACTGACTACAATACATTAGGGACTATTTGAACCTAAGGCTACTAGAGAAACTTGGGTCTACCTCACAATTAGAGATTTTTTCAAATGCTACTTCATTAGTGGGTGCTTCCGTCTTGGATTTTATTCACAGGAAAAAAGTATAGACGCTTATAGGAGTTCAAAAAAAATTATTGGGTTGGCCATAAAGTCCATTTATTTTTTTCTGTAAAATAAGACACATTTTTTTAGAGATTTTACTTATCTTTAGAGGGGAAGGGAAGGGAAGGAGAAAGGGAGAGAAATATCAATGTGTGGTTGCCTCTTGTGTGTCCCCCGCTGGGAACTGCAACCATGCCCTGACTGGGAATCGAACTGGGATCCCTTATTTCGCAGACCTAATCCAGTCAATCCACTGAGCTACACCAGCCAGGGCAAGAGACATGTTTTTTGATTTCATGAATAACTTTATTGATTTGGATATTTTGAGTATGTCAGCTATCTTCCATATGGTGTTATGCTGATTATTCTCAATTAATGTCTCCATTTGATCACTACCAACTTCAACTGCCCGACTATGGAGCATCACCCAGTGAGAAATCTCCAGCACAAAGCTTTTTAAACCACTTTTGACACGTTTGATTAGTCGCAGCACCTTCTCCATACACTGCACAAATCTTTTTTTTTTCAGTTGTGTTTTTACCTTTCTTGAAATAATAAAGCACAGTATGCCAAAAATGTTGCATATTTTCTTTCATCTTCAATATTAAAATGTCTACACAAAAATTCACCAGTTTTGATAAGTTTTTTTGATGAATGCTGATCTGATAATGGTCACAATACTATCTAACAAAATTGTTTTGAATGACATTAAAGACAAGTTAGCACCACTAGAGCCATCTTAAGGAAACAAACAAACTTTTTGGCCAATCCAATAGTATACAAAATAACATGAGACCCCTAATTTCAGGATTGTGTTTTGTGTGCCAAGACTTCTCAGTTTTAAATACAGTGGTACCTTGGTATTCGGCATCTTCAGAATTAGTCAAATCTGGTACTTGTTGTATTTTGATGAGGATGTTTCAGCACTCAGCGCTTGCTCACCATTCTTCACACTTGCTACAACTTCTATGAGTCACGACACCACCCTGTAATAGAAAACATTTCATCAATAGTTGTGTGCTTGCCACTCGTCAGAATAAATTAACGATGAGTACTGAGGTACCACTGTAAATGTGAAAACTGTTGCTGTCAGCTCCAGATAATCCAGTCAAATAATTTATTCTGTGTACAGAATAAAGCAAATAAGGATCTTGCTTGGTTTAGGGGTAACTTTGAAAAGTCCTTAGGCATTTAGGAGATTGCACTTAGGAATACTTTTCGTATCTGCATGTATTCCTAATTTCAATTTGGGAATAGGCTGACCACCTTTACTTTTGAAGATGTTTTCCAAAAACCTTTTTTAGGTTTTCTTCCTCCAAGTCAAAAGGGACAAATTCACAATCATTAAGCGTAGAGTTCTGTTTTACAGTTCCCCACAGTCCAAAGGATTTTCTAAGTGATAGTTTCCAGTCCACTGTATTACAATTCAATGATCGTTCACGGTGAACCTGTGTTTCACGGACTGTGCTGGGGGCTGTTGGGGATAACGAATGAACAAAACACATTTCCCTCTAGGACAGAATCAGACCACTACACAAAGTTGGCACACTTTAAGAGCCACAATGAAGATCCACAGGAAGATTTACAGGGTTTCAAGAAGGTGAAGGATGGTAGTACCTTTGATTATAATTATTAGGGAGATCTTCGTGGAAGAGGAAACTTTTGAGCTAAACATGGAATGTTATAGAATTTGGATAGACAGATTCAGAGACAGGAAGAAACAGTTCAAATTTTGACAACTTAGATGCTCTGGAACATTCATAACTTACAAGTTTGGTACTTGATAAATGTGGATAAATATGTGTCAGGAAGTAAAGTTCCAATTCCAGTTCTAACATGAGAGGCTTTGCCCCACACCACCACACAGTTTTTCAACACCAGCTCAGTGTTCCACAGTTCACCTCAGTTCTGACACTGTCTACCTAGGTGTCAGGTCTTCCTCAGCTTAAGGGTTTATAGCCCTTTAAGACTGTCTCTTTCCACCCCCTTCAGACAACAATGGCAAGTTTAGGTTGTCACCACTGCTTCTGACCAACAGTCTGTCAATCAGAGGTTCTAACCTCTCCTTTCTTGGGTTTGATGAATTTGCTAGAATGGCTCACAGGATTCAGAGAAACATTTTACTTACTAGGTTAGCAGTTTATGATATGCCCAGAGACAGCCAGGTGGATGGATGGGATATAGTGCAAGGTGTGGGGAAAGAGCATGGAGTTTCCACAGTCTCTCTGAGAGGGCCATTCTCCCAACACTTCAACACGTTCACCAACCACTGGAAGCTCTCCAAACCCTGTTGTACTGAGTTTTTATGGAAGCCTCATTACTTAGGCATGATTGATTAAATCATTAGCCATTGGTGACTGAATCAGTCTCTAGCCTCTCACTCACCCCTCCTGCCCAAGTGGGGATGTGGGTAGTACTGAAAGCAGCAACCCTCTAATCAAGTGGTTGGTTCTCCTGGCAACCATCTTCATCCTAGGTGACTTCAGGGCATTCCAGCAGTCACCTCATTAACATAACAGACACCTTTATTGAGATCTTCCCTTAAGAAATTCCAGGAATTTTCAGGGTCAAAGACTAAATACATAGTTCTTATTACAAGTCACAGTGTCACAACAAGCACAGCAGATACCAAAGATAAATCATCTTTCTTTAAGACCAGTGTTTAGGGAGGTGGTTATTTTGGTCCCAGATGTGTCCCATGTTTTGCCCTAGGCTTTCCGCCGGCCTCATTCATGTGATTACTTAAATATTTTTGTTCAATGGTTGGTTTACAGCTTTGAAACTCAGAGGAATGGACTGGTGTTTATCTATGACATGTGCGGTTCTAATTATGCCAACTTTGAGCTGGATCTTGGCAAGAAAGTCCTAAACTTGCTAAAGGTAAGGCTGCGACAGGGTCTTCTCAACTGTCCTACAGTGGTTAGGAGACCTTTCTCTATTCTTTGGGAGACTTATAAATTATGTAAACTTTAGACATTGTGTTCTGTTTGAAGGTCACCTGTAAGTGAAGACTAATACCTGCTTCTTCAGAACAAGAAATGGTCTTACAAGTAAAGTGGAAAGAATTTAAATAAGAATGTACAGGAACATTCTGAATCATCCTGGAGTTTTACAGAATAAGAGTAAATGAAGGCCTAGGAAGGCCAGTGTCCTTGAAAAATGTCACCTAGCCAGTGACTTTCAGACTTTTTAAACATAATCTAGTCAGAAATATGTTTTACGTTATGACTTAGTCCACAAAAGTATTTGTACACTTAAACATATATGTAGAGTTGCATACATAAATAAGGTTCTTAATCTCTCATCCCAAGCTATTAGGTCCAGGGGTGTTTTTTAATGTTTTGAACTTTAGATTTCATTAATTAATTTATTTTTAGAGAAAGGGTAAAGGAGGGAGAAAGAGAGGGAGAGAAACACTGTGTGAGAGGCACAGTAATGGTTGCCTTTTGTATGCCCCCAACTGGAGACCTGGTGCCAGGCATGCACCCTGACTGGGAATTGAACCAGCAACCTTTAAGTTTAAGGCCAGCACTCAATTCACTGAGGCATAGCATCAGGGCTCAACTTTAAAGGATAATATGTGTGCCACTCTATAATCTAACATTAATATTTCTGCAATGGGATGTATTATTCTTAATGAGTGGAGAAGAATAAGGGCTATAAATGGCCTAGGGCAGTTCAGGTTAGATATTGCTGCCCTGTGAATTTTGCACCAAACTTACAAAAGAAACTTAAGGTTTTCAGAGTTGTTTAAATTTCAGAATCTGAATAAGGGTGTGTATATCTGTGTGTACATGTTTATAAAACAAAAAAAGTTACACAAAGTAAGCTTTATCCTTACTATGGGCAGTCACTTTGATTATTCCCTTCTAGTTCATATTTTAAAAATATTAGTCATGACCTATAAAATTAATTTCAGAACCCACTGAGTGACAACAGGGAGAGAGGAAGGGAGTGGGGGGAGAGAGAAACATCTACGGGTTGCCCAGAGTACGTGCCCTGACCAGGGATCAAACCAGACGATACTCCAAACAACTGAACCACCCAGCCAGGGCTAGAGATGTTTATTTACTATTACAGCTTTACAATAGAAAGTATATAAATAAAGTATTATACCGCATGCTGTTTTCTGGAACTCACTAATCATTATTTTATTAAAATTACTCTTGTAGCATGTAGCTGTGACTCATTTCTTTTATTAATGGTTGAAGGACTGTTACCTTTTAATTCCTCATCCATTGGTGAATGTATCAGATTATTCATCTACTCTTGTACTGATGGTTGCTTGGATTGTTTCCTGATTTTTGCTATTATTAACAGTGCTTCTGTGAATAGTTTTATACTTATCTTCAGTGCATTTGTTTCTCGACCATTTTTATTCATTATTACCTCACAGAGGAGCCTGTTGAAGACATCCCTACCTCTCACCCCCAGTTCTTTTAATGAAAGTCTAACACCACAGACGTGTTGTATATATCATGATGTACTGAATGCGTATCTGTGGTTTATGCATAAAAAGAGTATGATGTTTTTGCCCATTCTCCACTCTCCTTAAAACTAATTTCATCCCTTTGGGGATGGTACCATTCCCCCCACTGGGAATGCATGTTCATACACCTGGTAGAATTACTGGGTGATAAGGTCGTGAAGATTCAGCTTCATAAAATACTGTAAATGGTTGTATCCACCTGCCATGTGTAAAATTTTCATTGGTCCACCTCCTCTTCAACACTTAGTGATGTTAGACTTGCTAATGTTTTCCCAATCAGGTGGGACAAAATGGCATCTTGTACAACTTGCATTCCTCATGGTAATGAGATTATCTCTTTATACCTTTATTGGCCATGTTTTCTTTTTCTGCAAAATGCCTGCTTGTAGTGTTTACCCAGTTTCCTATTGGTTTGTCCATTTATGTAGTTTTTTATATATTACTACTAATCCATTTATATATCCGTATGTATTAATATATACTGTCTTAGTTTATAGCTTGTGTTTTCACTTAAGTCTTTTTAACTAAAAGAAGTTCTTAACTTTAATATGGTTAAATGTGTCTGAATTTTTTTGTTTGTTTCATGTATTTGCATCTTAAATTCTTTCATATTCCAAAGTCAGGAAAAATATATTAACTATTTTTTTACTGCTTTACCACTGATTACATATGTATTAATTTTTTAGTTGATTTTTTATTGTGGTGAAATATACATAATAAAAATTACCATTTTAGCAATTTTTAGTGTACAGTTCAGTGATGTGAAGTACATTCACAGTGCAACCATCACCACTGTCCATTTTCAGAACAGTTTTTTCATCCCAAAGAAAAGTTCTGTATCCATTAAACAATGTCTTTTAATAACCTCAGCCCCCTGAGTCTCTGGCCCAACCCCCAGCCTCTGGTAATTTGCCTTTTCTAGGTCCTCATTGAAGTAGAATCACACAATGTTTATCCTTTTATGTGCATTTTATTTTACGTAGCATAATGTTTTCAAGATTAATTTATATTGCAGCATATATTGGAATTTCATTCCTTTTTAAGGCTGAATAATGTATCATTGTATATGTGTACAACATTTTGTTTATCCAGTCACCTGTCCATAGACATTTGGGTTGTTTCCACCTGTTGGCTGTTGTGAATAATGCTGCTGTGGACATTGGTGTACAAAGTATCCGTCTGAGTCTCTGATATCAATTCTTTTGCACATACACTAGAAGTGGAATTGTTGGCTCATGTGGTAATTCTACATGTAACATTTTGAGGAGCTATTTTCTTTTTTTTTATTATATTTTATTGAGTATGCTATTACAGTTGTCTCGATTTTTTCCCCTTTTGCTCCCCTCCATCTAGCATCCCCTATTTCTGCAGGCAATCCCCACACCTTGGTTATGTCCATTGATCATACATATAAATTCTTTGGCTACTCCATTTCCTATACCTCCTTTATATCTTCATGGCTATTCTGTAACAACCTATTTGTACTTCTTAATCCCCTCACCTCTTCACTCCTTTCCCCATAACCCCCACCCACCTGGCAACCATCAAAATGCTTTCTCTATCCATGATTCTGTCCTTGTTCTTCTTGTTTGCTTAGCTTGTTTTTTAGATACAATTGTTGATAGTTTTGTATTTTTGCCCTTTCATTGTTCATAGTTTTAATCTTCTTTTTCTTGAATAAGTCCATTTACCATTTCATATACTGCTGGTTTGGTGACGATGAACTCCTTTAGTTTTCTCTTATCTGGGAACCTCTTTATTTGCACTGCAATTCTAAATGATAACTTTTCTGGGTAGAGCAGTCTTGGCCATAGGTCCCTGCTTTTCATGACTTTGAATATTTCTCGCCAGTCCCTTCTAGCCTGCAGTTTCTTTTGAGAAATCAGCTGACAGTCTTATGGAGACTCTGCTGTAGGTAACTAACTGCTTTTCTCTTGCTGCTTTTAAGATTCTCTATCTTTAACCTTTGGCATTTTAATTATGATGTGTATTGGAGTGGGCCTCTTTGCATCCATCTTGTGTGGGACTCTGTGCTTCCTGGACTTGCATGTCTGTTCCTATACCAAGTTAGGGAAATTTTCTTACATTATTTTTTCATATAGATTTCCAATTTCTTGCTCTTTCTCTTCTCCTTTTGGCAGCCCTATGATGCAAATGTTGGACCTCTTGGAGTGACAACTTTTTCTTTTTTCTCCTTATTGTTCTGATTGGTTGTTTTTTGCTTCCTTATGTTCCAAATCATTGATTGATTTTTGGCTTCATCCACTCTACTGTTGTTTCCCTGTAAATTATTCTTTATTTCAATAAGTGTATCCTTCATTTCTGACTGGATCTTTTTATGCTGTTGAATTCCTCACTAAGTTTCTTGAGCATCCTTATAACCAGTGTTTCAAACTCGGCATCTGATAGATTGCTTCTCTCTGTTTTGTTTAGCTCTTTTTCTGGAGTTTTGATCTATTCTTTCATTTGGGCCATGTTTCTTTGTCTCCTCATTTTGGCAGCCTCCCTGGGTTTGTTTCTATGTATTAGGAGAGCTGCTTTGATTCCATATCTTGGTGGTGTGGCCTAATTTATTAGGTGGTCTATAGGGTCCCATGGCACAGCTTCCCCTATCACCCAAGCTGGGTACTAGAGGTGCACCTTCTGTGTGGGCTGAGTATACTCTCCTTTTGTAGTTGAGCCTTGGTTGCCATTGATAGATCGATGGGAGGGATTTACCCTGGCCAATGAGCTGTAAGGATTGGCTGTGACCACTTACCACCAACCTCCACCCTCTGTGGAGGATCAGCTATGCAGGGTTAGGGTGGTGGTGCTCCACTGTGGTCTGTAGCTGTCCACTAGGTGGGCTGGCCCTGGTGTTTCCCTGATGGTGCAGGCCAATTTCAGCCCCCACCTGTGTTTTGCCTAGGGCCACCGAGCCTGAGCTATAAAGCAATCTGAGGTGGCTGCTGCTTGTGTTGGGCTTGGAGATTCCTAGGCAAAGCCAAACTATGAATCTAGGCTGGCTGCTGCTGTATGCCTGTCCTGGGGCTCAGGGAGGCCAGCTGTTGCTTATTTGCTTATTCTGTAGGAAGTTGTACAGTATGAGCCAACCCAGCCATTCGTATGGAAAAGCAGCTTGGGTGGACTGGAATTTCAGCCAGGTTGATGGAATTTCAGATTTGGCGCCAGGTTGCCAGCTCTGTGAGGGGAAGATTTAGAAAAGGAACAGTGGCCTCTGCTCACCTTAATGCCAGTCTCTTGCCATATGCCACTGGTGCCTTTTAAGCTGCTCCCTGGTACTGGAGCTCAGAGGGAGTGAGTCTGAGTAGGTGAGTTCATGTGTGGGTTCTTTAAGAGGAACTGCTTGGGGCCCTGTCAGTTTCTTCTACCAACTCAATCCCTGCTGGTT